TCTTTTGGCTAAGATCAAGTGTAAGAAAACCCTCAGTAGTTAAATAGTTGATAGTATCATTACCAGATTGAGTGTGTGTGTGTGTGTGTGTGAGAGAGAGAGAGAGAGAGAGAGAGAGAGAGAGAGAGAGAGAGAGAGAGACTGACTAGAGATTGAACCCAAGGCCTTTGCACTGAGCTACATCCCCAACCCTTGCTGATTTTTTTTTATTTATTTTTATTTTTTTGGAGACAGAGCTTCACTAAGTTCCTGGGATTGGGCTCAAACTTGGGATCCTCAAGCCTCAGCCTCCCAGAGTGCTACGATTGCAGGTGTGCACCATGAAGCCCAGCTTGGAAGAGGTCTTTCTAATAAACTCCAAAGTTAGGAACCATAAAATAATACCAATAATTTAGACTTCATTAAAATAATGACATTTTACATTGTCAGAAAGAAATCAAAATACAGCAATATAAATATGCATTACTCTTATCATAGATGGTTAACTCCCTAAAAGTTCTACAAGCCAATAAGTTAAATGACTCAATACAGATAATTTATAGGCAAGGAAGATCATCTAAACATGAAAACATTTCAGTTCTCATAAGAAATACAAAATGAAAGATTGATGAGATAGTAGTTTTTATTAACATTGAGTTGGTAGTAGTATGGGGCGTATTCTTTACTGCTGGTGAGAGATTAATTTTATATAATCACTGTGGAGGGCAATTTGATGTAATAGTCCAGTTTACAAATTTCCGCACTTTTCCACCTACCCCTTCTAAGAATTTGTACCATAGAAAAATTTGCACACAGATGAAATGTATTTTTTTTTCAGTTTTATGTTAGTAGCAAAAGATTAGCATCAACAAGATGTCCATAAATACTGGAATGATCAAAGTATGTACCTTGAATAGAAAACTCTGAAAACATTCAACATAAAGCAAAAAAAAAAAAGTGGACTAGGAGTGTTAGCTTTGAGTTAGAGGATATAACTGCCATTCACTCCTTGGTAACAAAAATGGCTGTATACATTCTGATAATAAGAGTGCCTGCTCAGATGTATTAAGAATGCAGAATAAGCAGTAGTGCATATTGTAATTATTTGAGAACAGTTGGAAGGGAACATGTGCGTTTTTTGGCTTGTGTATGCTAAAGCACCAGTGAAGGACTTACAAAATATATAGTAATGATCTCTGGGGAATCAAACTAGGTAACTAAGAAATATAAGAATTTTCAATATCTTATTTTGTTTTTGTTTTTTGAGTCGTTCTTGCCTTGTGCCCTCAAACTTGAAGCAGTCCTCTTTCAACTTCCCAAGTGTTGGGATTATAGGCATGCAACTACCGCACCTGGCAAGAATTTTCATTGCCTTTTGACTTTTTAAATGAGAAGCCATGCAGATGTCTTAACTACTCAGAAATACTATTTAAATAAAAATTGACTATTGGAAAATGTATATTGTGTCCAGAATGCATAAAGAACTTTTAAATTCAAGAAAGAAATAGTCTAGTTAACAAAATTGGCAAAGGTTAAATAGATGCTTCATTTGCAGGTTCAAAGCCAGCCTGGGCAACTTTGTGAAACTCTGCCTCAAAATTGAAAAAGGTGAACGGCTGGCCAGACAGCTCAGTGGACTAAAGTTCTTGCTTAGACAGGTGCAGGGACCAGGGTTCGATCACCAGCATGCCCTGCCGGCCCCACCCTTGGGGAGTGCTGAGACTGAGTGTGGTGGTGCACACCTGTAATCCCAGTGCTTGGGAGGCTGAAAAAAGGAGGATCACTATGAGTCCAAACTGTGTAGTGAGATCCTGTAGACCCTGTACTAAATATATAAAAAGAAAAGAAAGAAAAAATTGAAAGAGGTGGGAATATAGCTCAAGCCCCTGGGTGCAATCCTCAGTACCACCAAAAAGGGGTGGAAGGCAGTTGGGTGGGTAGGTCAGTGGTACAGTAGATACTTGCTTAGCTTGGGCAAACCTCAAAAGTCCATCCCCAGTGCCTCTGGGGAAAAGAAGGCAAGAACATGCATCCTGGGAATGGATGTATAGTAGTCACAGCAAGAAAGAGAAAATGAACAAAAGCATATATTTATACAAAAACTGATACATATACTGTCTGTAGCAACTTTGTAATTGTCAAAAACTGAGAACATCTCAAATGTTCAACAGGTAAATGAATGAACAAATTGTGACACATGTATGCAATGGAATAGTACTTATCAGTATAAAAGAATGAACAACTATTTACACATTAACACATAAAACTCAGAATGAATACTGGGCAAAAAAAATCCTGATACGAGTGTATACCAAATGATTCTGTCGCTCTATCATTTTAGATGGCAGAAGTAGAAATGGATCTATAATGTTAGAGAGCAGTTTAGTGGATGCTTGATAAGGAGGGGTATGAGAATGGGAGAACTGCAAAGGTGTGAGATGGGAGTACAAGGACTCTGGGTCTATATTGTCTTGATTGTAGTGAGGGATTTATGCATTATACAGTTAGTGTGTGTGTCAAAATTGTATACCTTAAACATTTACAATTTATTATATGCTCATTGTATCTTAAAACATTACTAACTAAATAAAAATTTTAAAGTTTAATTGGGGAAATTAGGTACAAGAAAAGATTTGGGAACTGTGATGTGCAAAGCAGCAGGTAGCACTCATTGTCAGCTATAGAGAGGTTGTGTAATGCCTGAGCTCTTAAATCTTAAATGCCAAGATTTTTTTTTCTTTTTTGCTTTTTCCTTCTTTCTTTCTTTTTTTTTTTGAGCCAGGGTCTACCTGTGTAGAATAGTCAGGCCTTAAATTTACCATGTAGCCCAGACTGACCTTCAGCTTGTGGCAATCCTCTTTCCTTAGACTCCCAAGTGCTAGGATAATGAGTACACCATCACACCCAGTCCAAGACTTATTTTTTAAACATTTTTTTTATTTAGTTATTTGGTACAGGATCTCACTTGGACTCATAGTGATCCTTCTGTCTGTCTTAACCTCCCCTGCACTTGGATTACAGGCATGTGCCATCATGCCTGGTTTTGGTGGCCAGCACAGCATGTCCGAGGGATCCAGGCTCAGCATGGCATGTGCTTGCCAGGCAGGCATTTAGACCACCGGGCTATCTCTCCATCCCCAAGACTTCTAAGTGATGTTGTGGAGAGCAGAAGAAAGTTTCTTTTTGCAGGCATATCACATGCCTGCAATCCCAGCATTTAGGAAAGATGAGGTAGGATCTCAAATTGAAAGCCAATATGGACTGCATAGTAACTTAGCAAGACCCTCTTTTTTTTTTTTTTTTTTTCTAATTTGTGTATTTGGTAGAGGGTCCCCCTACACAGTTCAGACTCGTAGTGATCTTCCTGTTTCAGCCTCCTCAGTGCTGGGATTGCAGGCATGTGCCACCATGCCCAGTCTCAAGGGCTGCTTGGTGGTCCTGGGGCATGGCCAGCACAACATGTAACTCCAGGGATCAATCCCAGGTCCTTGTGATTTCCAGACAGGTGCTTATACCACTGAGCTGTCTCCCAGCCCAAGGACCCTGTCTTTAAAACTATTACTATTTCTGTTTTTGTTTTTTGAGGCAAGGTCTTTCACTCTGTAGCTTTAAATTCACTACATAGCTCAGACTGGCCTTGAATTCAAAGTGATCCTCCTGCCTTCAGCCTCCCAAGCACTGGAGTTATAGTTATGTGATACCATGGCAGGTTTAAAATGAAAAATTTTAGGAGCTGCAAAAACAGCTCTGTACAAAGGTCCTGGATTCAATCCGTAGTGCCAAAAGGAAAGAAAAACATGCTGTTCAACTTACTAATCCAGGGCATTGTTTTGTCAAATTCTTCCTCTATCAACAGCTTGAATGAACTATCTTTCTGTGTTTCCAGTCCATATTTATCATGTTCAATGTGATCCACTTGAACATTATGCTTGTCCTCATATGCTATTTGTTCATTGTTACTGTCTTTTTTTTTTTTTTTTTTTTTCGGAACCGGGAATTGAACTCAGACCCTTGCGTTTGCCAGGCAAGCGCTTATTCTACTGAGCTATCTCCCTGACCACCCCCTCTTTTTGAGACTATATAAATGAAAATGAAGCTCATAATATACCTTTAAAAGTAGTAAATATAACATGACATTAAAAAATACTTTGATTTATCTTGGAATTTGAGAAAAAGATCCTACAGAAGAACAAATCCAGTATTTAAGCTTCAAGAAAGAAAGTGATTAAAAGTTCATACAGTGGTACATTTCACTTAAATACCTATATTTGTATGTTCACTGGGTCAGAGAGAAAGTGTCATGTTCTTCTAAATAGAGTCTTTTTTTTTTTTTTTTTTTTTTTTTTTTTGTGGTACTGGGGATTGAACTCAGGGCCCTGCGCTTGCCAGGCAAGTGCTTTTTTTTTTTTTTTTTTCTAAATAAAATCTTGAGATTTAGCTTTATCCATAGGGGCTAACCTGGGCTTCAGACATGGTTGTATCAGAAGTTGGTATAGAAAAGGAAGACTTGGGCTTGCTTATATATCTTTGTCTTGAAAAGTTCTTTTTGTTTTTGTTTTTTGTTATAGGGAAACAGTTTATATAACCCTGTTTAAAAATATAGTACTATGCTGGACATGGTGGCACATACCTGTAATCATAGCACTCGGGGAGGCTGAGACGAGTATCTTTGCGAGTTAGAGACCACCCTGGGCTACGTAGTGAGCCCAAGGGCAGCCTGAGCTGCACAGTGAGACCCTGTCTCAAAAAGAAAAAAAAAAAAAAAATACCCAAAAGGTGAAGTAGCCAGTGGCTCCATGGTGGTACACACCTATAATCCCACCATTCAGGAAGCTGAAGCAGGAAGATCACCATAAGTTCAAGGCCAGCCTGGGCCTTGTGAGTGAGATCCCGTCTCAAAAAGAATGTGAAGTAAAAAGAGGGCAGTGAGATGGATGATCAGAATCTTAAATTTCTGTATAGTCTAGTTTATAAGTTTGTATGATTTTTATAATTCTAGATGTTCTTCTGCATTTTTTGAGGAAGAGAGATCAGCATTAAAACAGAAACGGCAGAAAATAAGGCTCTTACAACAAAGGAAAGTTGCAGATGTTTCACAATTCAAAGATCTCCCCGATGAAATTCCTTTACCTCTGGTTATTGGAACCAAAGTTACAGGTAAATAAGAGACAAGCATACTCTTATGATGTAGAGCTTTCAGCAAGATAATTTCTATTAGAGATTTAGAAAGATTACTTGTAGTTCTTTGATAATTTACTGTGTAGATGTTACATTTGAAATACATTTTTGTGGTGGGTTTTTGTTTTGTTTTGTTTGTTTGTTTGTTTTTGTAGCCAGCTCAGCCTGCCCTGGGGGTGGGGCTGGTGCCCTGCATGCGGTGCCAAGGATAGAACTGTGGTCCCTAAGCTTGCCTAAGCAGGCATTTTAAACTGCTAAGCTATCTCGCCAACCCTGAAATGTATTTTTTAAGATAATTAGAAAAAATATACTGGTTGAAAGTGATGCTGTAATACGTACTAAAGCAAACTGATAAGATAAAATTTAAAATTCATTGGAAAAATTATAGCTATGTGTTGTTTAAATGTTTAAATTGTTCTTTTTTGCTTCCACATCATTTGTCTTCTTCTAACCAGCCCTGTCTAGTTGGTTCATGAATACTGTTGTTTTTGGGTCTTTGGGTCTACAGATAGTTAATTTATTTTCTTTCTCTCTCTCTTTCTTCTTTTTTTTTACATTGTTTCATTGATTTTTATTTGACACATGATTTAAAGTAAGATTTTTTTTTTAATGTATTTAGTACAGGGTCTACAAGATCTCACTACACAGATCAGATTTGTAGTGATCCTTCCTGTTTTTTAGCCTCCCAAGTGCTAGGATAACAGGCATGTGCCATCACGCCCTATTTCAATCACCATCTCAGTGTGCCCTGCGGGCCAGGCCAGCATAGCACTCTGGAGATGGAACCCCCGACCCCATGTCTGTTTAAGCAGGTATTTTAATCCACTGAGCTATCTGGCTGGCCCTAAAGTAAGAATTATTGCTTATGAGAAATACACTAATTTCCTTTAAAAAAATTTAGTACATATTTATAGTATATAATGATTATATAAAGCTGGTTCATTACATACCGCATCTTAATTCTTTTTGCTTCCTCTTTCTCTACCCCCTTCTCTCCTTCATATCTTGGTTCCCTTCTCATTCCCAAAGAGCTAGAGATAGTTCACTTCTAATGACCAAATAAAACTAAATTATTTGTTAAGAAGTTTGCTCAAGGGCTGGGGAGATGACTTAGTGGAATAAGCGCTTCCGTGGCAAGCACAAGGGCCTGAGTTCAATCCCTGGTTCC